CATATAGCAAAAGACCAAATTAGCTGTCTAGTCTTGGATACCGAAAATAAGAATTACTCTAGCTCTCCTAGCCGTTAGGGTTCTGTGGGGATCCCATAGCACAGTGCCTGGCTCGTAGAAAGCCTGGCGAATGTTCAATATTGATATTAGTAGTATATCATAAAACTTGAGAAATAAAGAGCTGCGCTCGCCCCCTATCTGTTAATTCAAACATGATGGTTACATAAAAATCTTGTTGAGTCGATCCGTGGTATAGGAATTAATTGTTCCAAATGTTTTAAGCTCTGTGCCTACCATGCTCACTGGAATTCTAGTGTTTTCTTGAATACACTGATTGGAAAACATGTCAGTCTTCAGCACTCCATGAAACAAGACTGGAAGACTTTATTAAGTGAAGTTGAACCCACCAATATGTTCTGGAACATTCCAGGGGTTTCTTTGGGGAACTTTTTGAGCTCAAAATTAAAAGTTCTCTCACAAGTTGCACTCCTTGAATTAGAGTTTAATTTTTATTCCTCTATAATGCAATAATAGAATCTTCAATTTGTTTAAGGCAAAGAAAGAGTGAACTACTGGATTTACAGTCCCCGGGAGACCCTTTGCTGCCCCCTGCTGGACAGGGTGGCTCCCAGCAGGTTGGTTACCTTGGCCACATTCCCATCCTATCCAAGATAAATCCCATGACCTGGTCCCTAAAAAAAAAAAAAAAAAAAAAAAAAAAAAAAAAAAAAAAAAATCCACCACCACCCCCAGAGGAGCCACATGAGGCCCTAAGGCAGGGATTTTTTACTCCTTTCAAAACTGGGCCCAGAGGTCACTTGAATACCAGTTTGCTGTTTATGTTCTGCGGATTTAGCCTCTTCCGTGGTAAAAACAGCTCTGGGTGGATTTCAGGTGCAGAACAGAGAGGAGAATTTCGGGGAATCCAGTGTGCTTTTCCAACTCCTCTCTCATCTCAGTTTAAGGGATGAAATGATTGGGTCTATCTTTTTCAGAGCCCAATCTGCCCCCGATTTTGTGGCATTTAAGGCTGCCATCTTCCCACTCAGACCCTCCCGCTCCACCTTCCCCGCAGCTGGGATGCCTATGCTGATGTGGTGGGTAGTTGCCTGTGGAAGCCAGGGTGGGTAGGAGGTACACAGAGAGAGCATTGGTGGATGGCAGGCCGGGAGCATGAGCACATCAGCCCATGGGACGCACTCTTTTTGTTTTGTGGTTTTGTTTTGCTTTGAGCCCATCCCAAGTGTTAAAGGAAATAATGTAACCACGATGCCAAAGGACATGGTGACGTCCCTTCCGCTGCAGTTGCTGTCACAGCCTTGATGTTAAGCTCATGGCCGTTCACGTCTGTGTCTTCAAATGGATCCTGGTGTGCTGGTTTTCTACTGTCAGTCCTGGGGCTAAGTCACAGGGTCCTGCCAATGAAGTGTCGCTGTCCCCAACTTACTGTCCCAGGCAAAAAGAACACTGCTTTGTTTTCCTGTGTTGTAGAGAAACTAGGGAGAACTTTATTTTTCAATAAACTTTTCTTGTGTGACAGGTGGTAGTGATTTGGGAGGGGGTGGGGTTGGCGCCCAAGCTACATGTCATGGAGTCAACACACTGTCAAAGGCATGTCCAAGTAGCAGGTGGATGGGGACTTGGGAATTAGATAGTTGAGTTTACAATTGATAGCTGAGCCCATAAAGTGCTTGCTATGCAAGTGTGAGAACCCAGCTCCAACCCTCAGAATCCACTTTTTAAAAAAGGCAGGCACATGCTCGAAACCCCAGTTCTAGGAAAGAGACAACATGGTTGGCGTGCATGTAAAACCCATGACTTGGGGCTGGGGAAATAAACGGCTGAGTAGTAACGTGCTTACCAGGCATGCACAAGGACCAGAGTTTGATCCCCAGAACCCATGTAAAAAAAGCCAAGTATGATACACACTTGTAATCCTGGCTCTGGAGATGTGAAAACAGGCATCTCCTTGGGGCACTCAGCCAGCCCACCCAAATCAGCAAGTTCCAGGCTAGTTGGCATCTCATAGAACAAGGTGGACCGTGTCCTGAGCTACTACATGTGAAATTAACTTCTGGCCTCCACATACAAGCACAAGCATACACACACACACACACACACACACACACACACACACACACACACACACAGTGGATAGGGGAAGGGCTTCACCACTATGTGCCCTTATATCCACCTCAATGCTAAATGGAAAGTATTCTTTCCATCTTCCATTATCACTGAAGAGGGCTGAATTGGAAAACAAACTGCTAGATTTTTTTCTTCAGAAATAGTTCTGGCTGCACAGTGCGTTTAAAACTGTATCCGAATGGACGCTAAAAGGCAGAGCACCTCCATCCACCTAAAAGTGAGGAAGCAGCCTGAGGCCAGGGACGGGTGGGCCATGAGAGTTGCCCGTGGGTCTCAGGCAGCGGACAGCTGGCTAGGCATGCACAAAGCCCTGGGTTTGGTTCCCAACACCATAGACGTTGACATGGTGCACACCTGTAATCCCAGGACTCAGGAAGTAGAGGCAGGACGATCAGGAGTTCTCAAGGGACCTCTCTGAAATTAGGGGCCCTCTGGATAATTCTCACTAGACAAAGACACCGTGGAATTCACAACCATGTGAGGCTCAGCCCCCTGAACTCGGTGTCTGTTGAATACAAGGAAGGGGGCAGGCAAATTTACAGAAACTGCATTCCCCAGGCATGCTTGCACGCTATATGGGGGACGTGCCAAGTGGGAGACCCCTCGGTGTCCCTTGGAAAAGTCAGTTGGACTGTGACTATAATTACATGTCACTTATTCAAAGTTCTTAGGTCAGAAGTGCTCCAGAGAGCTTGGAGGACGGCTCAGCGGCTAGGAGCACTTTGCTTTGCAAGTGTGAGGATCTGAGTTCAAGTCCCCCACATCCAAGCAGGGCGTGACCACGTTATGCCTGTAACTCCAGAACCGTGGGAGGCAGAGCCGGAAGAATCTCTGGGGCTTTCTGGCCGCCAGCCCAGCTCCAGGTTCAGGGAGAGATCTGGTCCCTGGGGAATAAGAGAGTGTTAGAGGGGGACACACGAATGCACACACACATACACACACACACACACACACACACACACACACACACACACACACACATGCGCACGCATGCACACACACGTGGTAAACAATGTTTCTGATCTTGGGACTTTCTGGATTTTGGAACCTTTGTCTTCTTGAGTTAGCTTTGGGATGAGACCCAGAACTGAACAGGAAACTCATTTATATTTCCTATGTGCTCCAGACTCATGGTCTAAAGATCATTTCACACCTGATTCTTAGTGGGCCTATGTTTGCACTACAACTTGTCACACAAGCCAAGTGTGAATTTTTCTACTTGGGCCACCATGTTGGTGCACATTCTTGAGCATCTTGGATTTCAGATTCGGGGATTCTGGGTGTTCAGCCCGTGCCTTCCCTTTGGCAGCACCAAGGGAGATGAGACACTACCTTGGTGAAGCCTGGAGACCTGAAATCCCTCTGCCCAGACAGTGTCTATCTCCAGGGATCTCCAGCAGAACCCTGTAACTGTCAGTTGGGGTGAGGCTGGCCTGGAAACTACAAACCCCACATCAAGACAGACAGACAGACAGACAGAAGTATTGCTGTCACTGTCACCAGGCACTGGCAACCCTCCCCGCCTGGTCCACCTCACCCACAACAGAAAACCTCCCTGCTGGAGGTGGGGAAATGACTCAGTGGGGAAGCTCGCTGTGCAAGTGTGAGGACCTGACCACAGATCCAGAGCACCCACAGAAGAGCCATCTGTGGTGGCGTGCACCTGAACCCCCAGGACTGGGAAGGCAAGATAGACTTAGACTCCTGGAACTCACAGGCTAGTCATTCTAACTGAATCAGCAAGCTCTGGGTTTGGAGGGAGGGAGGGAGGGAGAGAGAGAGAGAGAGAGAGAGAGAGAGAGAGAGAGAGAGAGAGAGAGAGGAGAGAGAGAGACTGCAATGGATACTCCCTACACATCGGCATGCACACCAACAGCTCTCACATACAACCTCCCCATACCATTCAGTGGCCAAGGTCTTTATTGGCCTGACATGGCTGCCCAGGTGGGCAGCGCCTTGAGTCATAGCACACAGTTGAACGGGGGACATGTCTACAGCACTTCTACCTAATGTTGCCTAAGCTGAGGACATCCGGATCCTTCTGGAGGAGTGTGTGACCCACTTCTCGCAGACTCTGAGGCACCGTGACCACTTAGCACAACAGACCGAGATATGCAGATTCAGGTAATGATTATAATTATTTATTACAAATAAATGTATAGAGTTTCACATCTCTCAAAAATGGTTCCTGGGTTCTCATGAATGTGCAGGTTCTGATGTGGAAGAAAGGGCTGTGTGCTTACGTAGCCTGTCCATGCAAAGCTCATAGGTCACTAAACACCTTAAAAAATAGAATGGTCTCCTTCTGAACAAATCCATTTAGTGTCGGGATTAGTAAAAGTGTAGGAAAGGGCTGATAGACGTTAGGAGGGAATTTTCTGATGGAATCTGCTGGGAGAGAGGAGTGTGAATCTGGAGGTGGCTTGGCCACGTGTGTCAGGAGGAGGTGACTCGGTCAGTTACTGTCTGGTTTTGGCTGACAGCGCCACAAGTGGCTTCCTGTCAAGCAGAGACCCTAGCCTGCTTTCAAGAACTGTTTGACTCCAGGAAATAGAAAATGTCACTTCCGGCTCAAGATTGGGAAGCGTGGCAGCCCCTCCCACGGGCAACATCGTCCTAACGTGTTTGATAGCGGGCAACCGGGTGAGGATGTAGGGCAGGTCCAGCCTCCAGGCAGACCTCATCCCATGATGACGGACTCTATGAACGAAAACTTCCCAAAATGAAACGGGATGTGCAGTTAAATATTGGCACCATCTGCCTTCGCGGAAACCTCTCGTCACCATGGTGACGCGCTTCGCCGGGGCAGCCCCTGCCGCCCTTCCAGCCGCCTTCACTCAAACATTTCGTAGTGACGCGTCTGTCTCACTCTGGGCACCATGTCGATGAGGAGCCTGCAGAAATGAAGACAGACAGGGTCACCTCGACACCAGGAGAGCTTGGGGGAAACCGAGGCTGTTTGCGTATGTGTGTTTGTGTGTCCTTTCCTGTGTGTTCAGGTGCATGGGGTGGTGGGTGCACGTGCGTGTTTGGGGATGGGGGCTGTGGAAGCCAGATAATCTTGTCCATTTTTCCTTGGTGGTTGTCCACCTTGATTTTCTGAGGCAGGGTCTCTCATTTTTACCCAGAACTCACCAAATAGGCTAGGCAAGGTGGCTGGCTAGCAAGCGCCACGGTCTTCCTGTCTTCCTGTCTGGAATTACTGCATGCACCACCAAACTAGCTTTTTTTGTGTTTTTTTTTTTTTAATTTTTTTATTTTTATTTATTTTTATTTTTATTTTATTTTATTTTATTTTGTCAGAGCTGAGGACCAAACCCAGGGCCTTGTGCTTGCTAGGCAAGCGCTCTACCACTGAGCTAAATCCCCAACCCCTGTTTTTTGTTTTTTTTTTTTTTTAATGTGGGTTACAGGGATCAAACTCAAACAACTGTGCTTCCCCACCTGAGCTACCCCTGAGTCTTATCTGTGACTACTCCTGCCCATGCCACACCACTGTCCCTTCAAAAGCATACAGCTCAATGGTTTCCCGTATATACGTGAAGCTGTGCGTTCACCCACACTGCCTTAATTCCAGAACACTTTTCTCATTCTCTGTGCACGCTAATAGTCAATCCCATTTTTTTCTTCCACACCTCTTTCCAGACAACCAATCATCTACTTTGTGACTCTGCTAGTGTATCTATTCTGGAAATTTCATATCAAAAAGTATATGGGCCAGGCGGTGGTGGCACACACCTTTAATCCCAGCACTCAGGAGGCAGAGCCAGGCAGGTCTCTGTGAGTTCAAGGCCAGCCTGGGCTACAGAGTGAGTTCCAGGACAGGCACCAAAACTACACAGAGAAACCCTGTCTTGAAAAAACAAAAACAAAAACAAAAACAAATATGGCCACATTCATTTGGCACGTTAGAAGTTCACCCACACTGTAAGGTGTACTGATACTTCCTTCATTTGGATGCCTGAGTAGTAGTCTACTGAATGAATACACCATATCTATCCCTTTATCAGCCAACAGGGGACTTCGACTTGTGTACATTATAACCAGAGCTGCTGCAACGTTCATCTAGAGGTTTTGACAAGGTTGTCTGTGTTCCTCTTTTCTCATTTATATACTAAGGAAGGAAATCCCTGGGACAAATGGTAACTGCATGCTTAGCACTCTGAGTATCTGCCAATTCTCTCCAAAGCAGCGCCGCTGTGAGCATTCCCAGCAGCCATGTCTGAGGCCCACTGTCCTTGCCAACGCTTGTAACTGTCTCTGAGTTTGAGGACCATACCTTAGTGGAAGCCAGGAAGCACTTACCTTTTAAAAATACAGCACCTTGACAGGAATGGTTCCCCCTAAGGACAAGTCCCGTCTAGATGCCATATCCAGGAAGTGTCACTGGGAGGCTTCTTCAGTAAGTGGCCCCCATGCTAAGATGGCTTGGCTTCCCTCCAGGGCGGCCCTTTGCATGGAGGAGGCCCATTTTTTAATTTTTTACATTTTTTTTTTTTTTTTGTGTGTGTGTGTGTGTGTGTGTGTGTGTGTGTGTGTGTGTGTGTGTGTGTATGTACACACACCACAGGGCAACTTTGGAGGTCAGTTCTCTCCTGCCTTCAACCAGGTGGGTCCTGAGGATTGAACCCAGACCATTAGACTTGGCTGCAAGCACCGTTATCCCCTGAGCCATCTCACCAGCCCCAGGAGGGGTCCCTTTCGTAAAGCCTTGCCAAGCCTAGGGCTGCCTCTGCCTGGCCTCCTCTGATTCCCAGCAGCACACATGGGCACCAGGCGACAGGAAGGATGACACTCACCTGGGCACCATGAAGACCCACATTATAGCACCCTGGAGATAAAGGCAGGAGGATCAGAAGTCCAAGGCCATCCTTGGCTAAATAGTGAGCTTGAAGCCAACCTGGACTACCTGACATCCTGTCTTAACAATAATAATAATTTTAAACCCACAGTATAGAGGAAGGAAAGGGACCATTTAGTGGATAAAAAGAACAAGGAAAAAGAAAATGAGTGTCTGAAGTGTAAAAGCCTTATTTCTCCCCAGAGTCCCTGCTTCACCTGTAGAAGGCCAACCCACAAGGAAGGCTGTACCCCATGCAGGCCTTTTCCAATCTCTTGAAAAAGGTCAGTGCTATATAGCACTGTCCTCTGAGTGTGACCCCACCATCTTTTTTTTTGTTTTCTTTTGTTTTGTTTTTCAAGACAGGGTTTCTCATGTAGTTTTGGTGCCTGTCCTGGATCTCGCTCTGTAGACCAGGCTGGCCTCCAACTCAGAGAGATCTGCCTGGCTCTGCCTCCCGAGTGCTGGGATTAAAGGCATGCATCACTGCCACCCAGCTCCACCATCTTCTTAGTCAAGGCAGCTACAGCAACCCACAGACGACCCTCGAGAGCTGGCCTGTTGACATTCCCTCAGAGGATAGGGCAGGGGTGGGTCATCAGACCACACACACACTAGCCTGCCCCACACCTCCCTCCCAGTTGCTTCCGTGGTCTCGGGGGAGGGGGTGGGGGGCGCTAGAGTACACAGAATGTGAAGGTTAGCTGCGGACTATTCCACATGTGCAGCTACGAGGAAGTCATCATCTACAGTGGGGTGAAACATTTCGATGGTGAGGCTGTCTGAAGGTCACCCACCATACTGGTTAGCTGTAAAAATTTTGTTGTTATTTTTTTGTTTGTTTGTTTTTGTTTTTGTCAACTTGACACAAGCTAGAGTCATCCATGAAGAGGGAGACTGAATTAAGAAAATGCCTCCCTCAGGTTGACCTGTAGGTAAGTGTGTGTGGGTATTCTAGATTAGTGATTAATATGGGATGGCCCAGCCCATGGTAGGCATGCCATCCATCCTTGCCTTGGGTTCTATAAGAAAACAGGCTGAGCAAGTCACAAGGAGCAAGCCAGTGAGCAGTATCCCTCCCTGGCCTCTGCTTCAGCTCCTGCCCTGACTGCCCTCACTGATTGACTGTGACACAGAAGTGCAAGATTAAATAAACCCTTTCCTCCCCAGGTTGCTTTGGGTCATGGTGTTTATCACAGCAACAGAAAGTCACCTAGAAAACCCACAGGCCTGTAAGTTCTCCTCATCCATGCTCCTGTAAGTTAGCCCAGTAACATGCACCGAGCTAGACATGGGTGGGATTGTGACTTTGGTCCATCTTTGGTGCCCTGTCTGGGGTGGAGAGATGTCTGTTCACCTTTCCCCAGGAAAAGCAAATAGAGCACTCATGTTCCTAAGACATAAAGGAGTAAGACGTGAGACCCTTCTTCCATTTCCTGGCTGGAGAAAGGGCTGGGAGGAAGGAGCGTTCTCAGAGCATTCCTGCCCCCTGGGTGATCCAAGATAAAAAGAGAGCCGTACTTGACCCCGTAGGCAAAGATGGTGAGGCCAATCAGGACGCCGATGCTGCCGTCCAGGTACCAGACTTTGGAGTTGTGTTTGAACACTTCCGCACTCAGAAGGATGGAGAAGCCCATCACTCCCCCAACAAGGGAGTTGAACCCTGCAAAGGAAGAGAGATCGCACACTGATCTGATGTGGACATTTCACAGTCTATGCTATCAAGTCTGTAGACCACAGCGGAACATAGTAGGCCTCCATTCTGTAGAAGGAATCTGTACCTACACACTGCTAATGGTTGGTTTGTTCTGAGTTAACCTTCCATCTGGATGCCATCCAAACAGCTGCCTCAGGAGGAGTTCAAGGCTCAGTGGTCTTAGTGTGGAGGAACCCTCACACACTACACACAGAGAGAGAAAATGATGAAGGAAAAACAGAGCCCAAGGGGCAAGACTAAATGGAGTGCCTGGATGCCTTTGCTTCCTCTCCCTGTGTAGTCTGCCTGTGGGAGGTGAGATGGGAGGCACATCCCAGGCTGTGAAGCCACTGTCTTCTCAGACTGCAGGTTGTCTGAATATTCCCGTGGGCTAGGGAGATGGCTCAGGTGGTGGGCATCCCCAGAACTGATGCCAAGCCAGACACAGTGGCATGGGCCTCTGGGTCTGTGATCTCAGCGTTCCTGTGGCAAGATGGAGGACAGGGACAGCTAACTAGTCCTGGACGCTCACTGGCCAGTGGCAAACAAGAGACACTGTCTCAAACAAGGTGAAAAGTGAGGGCCAACACCTCACGTTGTCCTCCGAGCTCTACGGGAGTGCCCTGGCACACACAAGCACTCACATGTTGGACATGCGTATGCGCATATACACGTGGGGGATTTTTTTAAAATATAAATCAGAAAGACACTCCTATTTCTCGTCACACCCAAACTCTTCATGCACACACCCCTCTGCCAACCATTCCACCTCCTCCGTGGGGCCCTTGAAGTTACCGGAAGCCCCTCCTTATCTGGGCCTTCCCATGCATGCTGCTTCCCTCATAGCATGCCTCCTCTCCACACTCGGCCCCACCTACCTCCTCATCCTCACAGTCTTGTTTCTCTCCCAGTTCTTTTCTCCCTAGCATATTTCTGCCTTAATATTCTACCATCTCCCACTAGAAAACTAAGCTTGGGGACGGAAGTTTTGTCCCTTCCCTTGCTGTGTCCTGTGTCCCAGAACAGGGTGCTGATGTGGCTCCTTACTCAGAAAAGGTAAGGAGCTGAAGTTCCCCAGTCGGCCACTAGATGTCCACCTAGTTCCACCGAGCCAGTCCTCACCGGTCAGCACCACGGACAGCTGTCCGAAGCGGCGCCAGTGAACAGCTGCGGGAACCCAGCTCCTTAGCTTAACACTTGCAGGGAGTGACCTCTGCTTGTAATGGCATAGCCTGACTCCTGCTGGCTTCTCTTTCACAAACACAGGGACTAGGGACTGATTCCAATCTGCCCTGCACGTGTGTGTGTGTGTGTGTGTGTGTGTGTGTGTGTGTGTGTGAAAAGAGGTCACCCTCAGCTGTCATTCTTTTATCACATTTTATCTTGTTTTTCAAGACAGTCACTGAACCTGAAGCTAGCTGGCCTGCCCAGGCTGGCTAGCCTGCCTCTGCCTCTGCCCCTGCCTCTGCCTCTGCCCACCAAGCCTGGTATCACAGGGTCCTGAAAGTGCTGGAGCCCCGCCACACACACACAGCAGTCTCTGGCAGTCACTCACCAGACCCAGGCTTGTGTCCTCACTGCTAGCCTCAGAGATGGTCTACAGAATAAACCCTGTGGCTGGCTTCACGGCACAGCATAGCTGGGACCGTGTTGGGGCTACCACTGGCCTGACTTTAGTGACTAGACTGGAATCTGTGTAATTAATTAATAATCTGTGTAATCATTAATTCCATGCAGAACAGTCTGATAAAGTTTTTCATAGAGGTTCTGAGTATTTTCAAGTTGGAAAGGAGTGAGACATCTGCCGCCTCTTATCAGAGGGTTCCCTGATTCCTCCAGGCTGCCAGCTTTACTCAAAACGTCCCCAGTGTGACCTCTCACATAGTTCTCACTTTTATTACTCATTTGTGCTCAGAGCTATTTTACCCTTGTAGCCCAGGCTACCTCATACTCACCAAGAATGACCTGGAACTGCTCATCCTTCCGCAGACCTCCCGAGTGCTGGCACTACAGGTGCGCACCACCATGCCCGGTTTACTAGGTACTGGGAATGGAACCCAGATCTTCACTCGTTTAGGCAAGCACTTTACCAACAGAGCTACACTCCTGGCTCCACCTTCGTCCTGATGGCACGTCTGCATGCTTACTGAATATCTACAGCATCAAACCAGCTGGGCCAAGACCCGCTAAGCTGCATGAAGGAGATGCCTGCCATTTCCCCCTGGCTCCACCATCCACCAGCTGCTGTCCCTTTTCCCTGGAGACCTGCTTCTTGGCTGTAAAGACACTTGCCCTCCATGCACACACACAAAGGTCCCGGCTGGCTGAGTCAGTGGGGCCCAACTCCCACAGGGTTCCAATCCAGGATGCATCAACATCATGGGAACAAGACAGGGGCTGTCCAGCTTATAGGATAAGGTTTCTAAAATGTCACTTCTGGTCTCTTTCAGGAGAGAAGATTCTTGGCTCTGCCTCAACCAGAGAAACAGCCACAGGGCATGCATCAAAGGGAGGCAAGACAGAAATGCAGGGAAAATTGGGGGGGGGGCATGAGAAGAGAGAGAAGCCCCTCCCCCAGGCATCTGGCTAAGGCTTCTCACCAGCAGAGAAGCAGGAACCTCCTGGTAATTAACAGCTGCTCAAGGCTTCTCTCCCTTCTTAGCCACAAGCCTGGAATTTTCTGGGGATCTCACTAGAAACCCCATTTTCAAGGAAAGGACATGTATTAACCCCTCCCCTCGTGATTCCTAGTTTCACCTTATCAAGATATAGTCCAAGGCATCTCCAGAGAGACGGAAAAGAGGAAAAATGGGGGGGGGGGCAGTGCTTAGCAACCTTTTGAGATGGAACTTGAGAGACACCAGAAGGGTCTACATGGCTAATCCTAAAACAGCTAATTACTGTCCCTTGAGGAGTTCGCATCCACACAGGGGTACATCTTACTCCCGTATTCTCCCTTGAGAAACATAGTGGCATGCATGTGTAATCCAGCTCTGGGGAGGGAGAGATAGGAGGACTCCTGGGGCTCACTCGCCAGCTAGTCTAGTCACAACCCAAGGAGGACAGTGACTGAGGAACGACCATGGCTGTCCTTTGGCCGCCACACGCATGTGCAACTCAGTGAGGTACTCAGTACAGCAGTGGGAAGTGGGAGGTTCAGTGAAGCCGAACCACAGATCTGAGTACGGAACAGCTCTGAAGTTAAGGGAACACCACCCACACAGGCGCAAGGCCCTTCAGTCCAGGGAGATGAGGTCATGTTCTGTGACGGTCAACTTGACACAGTCTAGCCTCAATGGGCGAGAGTGTCTCAATGAGGGGTTGTCTAGATCAGGTTGGCCTGTGGGTTTGTGGAGAATTGTCCCTATTGACTTAATTGTTGTGGGAATGATGTCTAAAGAGGAGGCACCATTCCCTGGATTTGGGCCCTGGGCTGTAGAAGAGTAGACAGTCGGCTAGCTGTCACTAACAAACATGCGTGCATGCATTCTCTCCCCTCTTGACTGTGGGTGTGATGTGATTGACTCCTTCAAATTCCTGCCTTGACCTCCCTGAAATGATGGACTGTGACCTGGAAGTATGAGCCAAATAAACTCCTTCTCCCCTAGGTTGGATTTCGTCGGGGTATTTCATCACAGCAGTAGGCGGTCTTCACGATCGTGGGCAGGTCTCGGGGATGGATGGCTCTGACCATTGAGTCCACACTCAGACTTCACACTTCATCACAGTGGAGGTGGAGAGCAGATGGCATAGAGACACCCGGCCTCTGCATCCAGTAGAGCCCGGGCACCGATAGGTCCACTTTGGAAATGGGAC